CCTCCGAAGATCTGGTCCAGAAAAATGCTACATTGCTGTCCCCTACTGACTCCAGGAAAAGCCGAAGCCACCAGCAAGGTTCAAGACTAGAGTCCCTTACGGGTTCACTTCTGCACATACCCATCTCCTCAAGTATTTTTCTCAAAATAGCAGTAGCTTGGGCTAAGTTGAGGGTGTAGCAGCAGTTTTCTGGGGAAGAGCCTCAGGATGTGTGGGGAACAGGCCTGTGAATGAAGGAGTTTCTGTGATTACAGTCTGCTGAGCCTGTAATCTCCCCAAACAAGCATCTGGCCCATCTAGCTCTTTTATCCAGCCCTCATGGCAGTTCTTGGCCTTACCCCCTAGCAGGTTGCTTGGGAGCCAGGACATGTGAGCCCTTACAACTGCTTCTATTTAAAGGGCTTGTGCCTTCCCTGAGGCTGCCAGAAAATGATCTTGGTTCCTAGGCAAAGTGCTAGAGGCGTGGGGGCCGCGAGCCCTTTCAACTGTTTCTCATCCTTTAAATAGAAATAGTTGAAAGGGCTCGCAGCTCCTGTGCCTCTAGTGCATTGCCAGGGAGCTAGCGAGCCCTTTCAACTACTTCTGTTGCAAGGGCTCATGCCTTCCCCATGGCTGGCAGGCAGTGGGAGGGGGGAGAGGGAGGCAGTGATGTAGCTGAAGTTGTGTATCTTAATTTAGATTTTGCTCTGCTGTGTAGACATACCCTAAGGTGCTGCAGGATCATTTGTTTTTTTTAATTTTACTTTAACAAGGTTTCATTACCAATTAATGGCTCTTTCACAGGTTAAATATTATGCTAATAAGTCTATTTTCTATCAATCCGTACTCCCCTTTTACCCCCCTGCTGAAGAGAGCCCTAAAGGGGCAAAATTCCTTTTCTTCCAGATAGCTGGACAAATGAGTTTCCTTTTACTTCTCTTTGATTAACTAGTTTTAAGAGAACTCTCTACTAAAATCAGTATCTTACTAAGATACACATATAGTGAAATTTCATAACATGTTTTGTTATGAAAATCACACAAAATAAATTAGTAGTCCCTTTTTCTAAAAGCAATTAACATTCTTATGAACACACTAAACTGCTCTGAGTAATTTAAAATATTGTCTTTGTTTCAGTAAATTTAAATATGTAGTAATCTGGAATGATCATTTTATGAAGGCTTAAGAAGAGTATATTTAAAATAACAAATGTAAAACAGAGAAGGGCTGCATCATGTATTCCATAATATTAATGTAGTATATAGGACAGCTGATTTGCCCTTATGAATTTTTTGCAAATAAATCTCTGACAAACTTCATGGTACATCAAAAAGCCTGTGACTAAAATTTTTATTCCTTCAGCGGGGCAGAGGAGTTTTATTTTATTTATTTTATTTTATTCCTTTATTCCTAAATTTAGTGCTTTTAATTAGATACCTTCTTCATACCCAGTCTTTGCAATCTGACAAGCAGTGGAAAACATGCCCCATTTTCTTTAGAAAGACAGTTTATAAGATTTCTTTTCCAAATGCCATTTGCTACATTTGGGATCAGGGATGTGGCTGGATTGAATGAGCAGACTAAAGAGGGAGATAATGGAGAGAGGCATGGGCAGCTTCATCCATCATTGGCCATTACTCTTCCCCTCACTTTCTAATGAAGTGGTTAGATTTGCCTGGGTTGTAGGAGACCCCAGTTCGAACGCCTCAGCAGTTTTGCAGGTGTTTGAGCCGGGATCCCCTACATCCTAGGCGACCGTCCTTTGGGGTGGACCATCCTTGTCCTGACCCCCTTTCTTTCTCAGTAGGCCGTTGACTTCTTGGAAAAGGAAGGAGGCAGAATAGGGATGGTAGTCCCCAGATCCACACCCCCTTGGTTGGGAGGCAGGGGAATGCCCTGGGGTGCCTGCCTAGAGCGAGGGGGTTTTACTGCTCAGCAGTAAAGCCTTTTTAATTAAAAAAAACAGCAAGAGGGGCCTGTACATGGCCTCGTGCTGCAGTTCAAGCGCTGTGATCTCACACTGCAGAGGCCCTGCAGATTTGATACATGGGCAGCTGCACACCAAGCAAGCAACCTAACCTCTTCCCCAGAGAGGGCTCTGAAAGCTTGCTGGGCTCCTGTTAATATGCAGTTAAAATGGCGTTCTTGAGCGGTAAGAGAACAGAGGCAATTCCCTCTCAACAAGCAGAGAGGAGGATTGGAACTAGCACCGCCCTTCTCCAGGGCCACACGCCCAACCCTCAGCACCACACAAGGAGGCATATAAGGCCTTTTTCCCCAATCCTCATTTCATAGCTCAGACAGTGGCCTGCCTGCAACCGAAAGGGCAGAGAGGGCCCACAGGGGACTGCCTCCTGGTGCAGTACTTAGCCCATTCCCTGGGAGAGAAGCAATCTAGGTTCCTTTTGAAGAAGAAAGGAGATGTGAACTCCAGCCTCCTACGTCACACACGTGACTGCCCAGGATGTTTGCTCAGTGTTTTGCCCAAAAGCAGCCCTCCGTCAATGGAAAAGGGAGAGAGAGCACATAGGAACTTCACCTCCGAGGCAGGCAATCAAAGTCTAGGCCCACAGACCCACCACCAGACTATGCAGAGCTGCTTTGTGGCTCTCTGGCCCCATCTCTGTGTGACAAAAGTGGAACAGATTGACTAGAAAAGCTCAAAAGGGGGGACCAAGAACATTCCTCTCAGTCCAGCAGCTGGCTAGTCACTTCAGAGCAGGCAGGTGGCTCTTCGAGTCCTTTCTCAGCCAGCTGAGGACGGAGTTGACCCTACCTCACCAAGTGAGCACCTATATCACTAGACTACAGAGGGATTCAGAGGCAGTAGCCCATTGGCTACTTCATGACAATCATTCTAACATGAAATGTAAGCTGAAGTGTAAGTGTAAGCCTGTGCATTTGCCTTCCCATACTAAAATACCAGCATTAGTTCTGGCCTGTTTGGAAGACTCGTATTGGTAACGGCAGAACACTAGAAGCATTTCTGTAACCTATGTAGACTTACTTACTTATACAATGTTTTACCTTAGTTATATAAGCTGACAAGCGTTCCGTAAGTAAATGTTGTGGTGTCTGCAGTCTAGCTACCGGGCCAGCTCATGCCACGGGCTCTGTGTCTCAGCAGGACACTGACAGCCATATAACTGGAATTTAGCTCATTTATGGGTTACTATAGTTTCGACAAAATAGCATGGCGTTAAAGGTGGGGGAAGGGGGGTGGCTGAGCATCCCCAAACAACCTGTTGTGGTTCCCTCCCCCCCCCCAACCCAGGTCAGCACACTTCCTGCTGGGAATCAAGGGTGGACTCATTGGCTCTGGGGGTGGCCTCAAGTGCTGGGCTGTGGGTGCAGTAGCCGCACTGTCCAGGAGGCATGGGCACTGAAACTGGCAGACCAGGCTGGAGCCTTGCATCCCTGACCCCATGAGTAGTGCTGGAGCCATGGGCCACGTGGGCATGCTTCTTCCGTCTCTTGCAGAGGTGAGGGGTGGGGGAGATAGAAGAAAGGGGCCCAAAGGCTAGCTTGCCCTTATGGCAGGGGGCTGATTGGCTGCCCATGGGTTCATATGTCAAGGTCTGACCCGCTGACCTGAACTGACTTGTGTGGCTAGACTGCATAGGTGTCAGCCTGACTGGGAGTTAGTCTGTGCATGCTGATTGGCTGCTCAGCATTATGCTATGTGATTGGTCTGATGTTAGGAACCTGTCTGTGTAGAAAGCTGATCTTGACCTGGCTATGGCCATGTTTGCACTAGGAGTGCCATGGATAGACCTCCCCTGGGAGTCCTGAGTCCATTCAGTAGCTCACCATGGCTCTCATATTGGCTGGTTGTTAAAGGCCGTAGCAAAACCTTTAACCCTGTATAAGCGCTATCCCGCACAGACTGGTATTGCCACGTGTTGGTCTAGTCTGACAACAGAGTTCTGTTGGAATGATCCATCAGTACCGCAGTTTCACCTTTGGGGTTTCACTCCATGTGCTGGAAGGGCTCTACCCTGTTTGCAGCCATTCCTCCTCAAGTGCTGTGTCTGCAGACCTCAGGTGCTTGACTTTTCATCATCTCAGGCCATCCTAAGGCTATGGCTAGACTGCAGCGTTAAATCAGAAAAAGATAAGCTATTTGTGGTACGTAACTTGCTTATCTTTTTCTGATTTTCCTTGGGAAGAGGCTTTTCTGAACTTTGGCACATCTACATGGTGCCAAATTTCAGAAAAACCTGCTCTTTCAACACAGCCCTTGTGCCTCAGAACAAGGTTTACAGGGATAGTGAAAGAGCGCATCTGCTTTTTCAAAAAAATTTTTGGAAAAGCAGATGCGTTCCTTGGACGTGGCATTGCTTTTCCAGGATACCTCCAGTATCCTGGAAAAGCGCTGCAATCTAGATATATCCCTAGACGTCATTTTTCCCTTCTCCATTCATTCAGGCCAAATCCTACTTCAGCCAGCCAAAGCTTTCATTGATGGCAATGTGCCCTAATACAAGGACCTGCCCCAGTAGATGGGCATATTAAAAGTGGAGGAGCCTTGGGTAAGTTGGCTCCAGGGGCTGGGCCCAACTCTGCCAAGCAAACACAACTTCCTCTCTCCAGGATTGGTAGAGTGGGGCCAAGCATGACAAGTCGCTATAAGATCTCGAACCTCTGACCTGGCCTTTTTCAGACAGCCGTCAGTGGCTTGAAAGACTTCAGGTAGTCATGGTAATGCTTTCTTTGTCTGGTTCTGCACTGGTAGCCCAGCAGCTTTTTGTCTCACAGGGCACTGACCCAACTGTGCCTTCTTGCACATACCCTGTTTCATTAGGGCCCATTCATCAAGGATCTGCAACTGCTCAGTATAGGGGCCTGAATCTCTGCACTAGCTCTTCCCTCCCCCAGCCCCAGATTCTTCCAGAGTAACAGAATGGGTCAAGTCTTCTACAGCCTTAGCCTGCTGCTGGGGTGGAGCGACTGGGTGCTATTAGTGGGAAAAGAGCTGGCTTGTTATGCATGTGCGGTTTGTTTGTTTTTTACCGCTGCAGAGTCCCAACCCCGCACTTACCTTCTGTGTCAAGACCCACGACCGTCTCTATTACATGGTGGCACCATCAGCTGAGGCTATGAGAATCTGGATGGATGTTATTGTGACTGGAGCAGAAGGCTACACGCAGTTCATGAATTGAGGGTGACTAGGAGTGCTTCAGGTGAAGCTGTCCAAGATCCACCTGCTCTTCTGCTCCCAGATGGATTTGCCATTGCCAGTGCCAAGATGACCTGGAGCTGACCCCCTTCTCTCCCATAGCTGGATCCAGCAGACAGCCTTTTTCATGAACCCCACAGCGAGATCGTGAAAGTTCCCTCTGATGCAGATATTAGCCAGCTCATGCCCTTTGGGCCCTGGTTGGTTAAATCATGTTGCTGACTATAGGGCCTGGATTCAGGTCTGCACTTGTGCCATCTTGCCCTTTTCCCGAGAGCTTTGGGATGTGATTTGACAAACACGGGGTTGATTCTTTTTTATGAGGAATGTTTTAAAAAAATAGGGAAAATCAGGCCTGCAAAGCCATGATTTTTTGTTACAAAATCCTTATTTTTTCATATTGTAGCCATTCCTAGTGGAATCGCTGTTGCGTTTCCCCTTCCACCTACATTTTCTATTAAACACAGTGTACGAGAGGACAGTGAAAGCACATGCCCAGGCATGGTGTAAGCTTTCCTCTCACTGAACAGAGGTGTTAATAAGCAAGGCTGGCACAGTCCCCTTAGTCAAGAGTTTCGGGGGGGGGAGAAGGAAATGTTTTTATATTTAAGAGGGTTAGTTTATTTGTTAATGGAAACATATCAGTGGGCTGAAAGTACAAAGCACACGCGTTGACAAAGCCCATGCTGCTGGTTCCAGTTCAAACTAGGCCTGATATCTTTAGCTGTTGGATAAAGGAACTAAGCTGTCTAGTTGTTACAACTTCTTTAAATTGGAGATTGCTGGGCATCACTGTGACAACTGCATCAGACTCATATGGAGCATCCTACCAGAATCTGTGACCAGACCCTATTTGCACCACTGTCTGCTTGACTTGTTTCCTTTTCTAGTGCCATTCTCACCAGCATCAAGTCTGCCCCAGGTGCCTAGATAATGCACCATGGCAGGCCTGCCAGATTGACTGCTGCTGCCTGTAAGAGCAAGGGGGCTATCTAATCTCTCAGATTCTGCTCTTCTGTGCCTTGACCACCTTTGAGAGTCTGTGCATCAGCAAAGGCAAGCTGCAAGGTTGGAGGGTTCTGGTGTGGTGTAAAGCTGGAGGTAACTGTGCCAGGTATGTAAAGGGTGTGGGATGAGAGGGAGTATTTTTATCTGCCAGGGCTGGTGAGGTCTCTCATACACTATGCACTGAGGTATGTAGCCTCATGGACCTAATGGCTTCTTCTGACACTGTGAGCTTTAAAAGTGCCTGTCTCCAAGGAGAAGCCATGAGAGAGAGGCAAGAAAGCAGAGTCTGGGTGCCTAAGTTAATTGTTTGCACATGCCTCATGAGGATGGTAGTGCCTAAATGTACATCGAATGGTCCAATGGTGTAAGGTGCTAAGCACCCTCCAAGTCCCAGAGAGCTGAATGCACAGCCCCTTTAACACTGGGCCCAGATTTATCTAAGCCTGAAGCTGCTCCGCCTATAGAATTGGAAGCACCAGCACTTAGCGCTTTGCCAAGTGGCTAACGAATGGGGGCCCTTGACATTTTGAGTCCCTTTCAAAGTGTCTATTTGTAGCTGCTGATTTGCCCAAGCCAGCTGAGAGCTAGGAATTTCTGCTGCTTTCCTCTAAGGTTTAGTGAAGAGTTAAGTTTCACATAGCTGAAAATCCCTTGAAAGAACAGGACTATTTAAATCCCAGTCTGGTTTTATACCCCTGAAATCCTTATTTTCCAAATCTTTTTTAACCGTAGGTATTTGTATGAATTCAAGTGCCATTGCTGTTAAGCCTAGAATCTCCCTTTGTCCAGTTTGTACCGTCTTCTGCATACCTAAGCTGGGGCAGGCAGCAACCAATCCAGTCTCTCCCTCTTCTCAGTAGCTGTATACAGGCTGCCAACAATAAAAGCCTTTTGAGTAACAGACTTAAAATTGTTTCCCCTACCCGTCTTGACCACAGCCAGCCACCTAAGACAAAGGGTTTACAGTAGCTATTGTGTGGGTAGTCACCTGTCTTTGAAAGTGCACTGCCACACCCCTATAGCAAGTTTTGTCTGGATAGCCACTGAGGCTGTCATCCTTCAAAAGAAATTCAACAACCTCTACAGGTCTCTGAATGAGAGGGACAGCGAAGGGTGGCACAGAGGCAGCTTGGGGAGAGTGACAGGATCTGGGATGGGAAATGGAGCTGGGCCCACGGCAGCAGATTATAACCCTCTTATTAATTACATTTTTATATATAATGTATATTTTGTAACTTGTTTTTATCTTTCATTCCATTCAAACTAAAAAGAACTTCACCTTTCAAAATTGTGGAATTTCCTCCCTCATGGAAATGCTAGTTTTTGACGGTTCTAATTGGGCCCCAGCATATGGCTAATGGGATCACTCAGCACCCATTAAGTGAAGTAAGTCACGTTTGGGGCTGCATATGCAGCTGATAACTTTGGAATGAAACCACTGTCCCCCACAGCCCCTCAGAGTTCACAATAGTAGAAACCCCTTCTACGAGTCACTTCTACCATCTGTACCCATGGCCAATATCACTCCTGATCTACTGTGCTGGGAGAACTGAGATGCAGAATCTGCAAGGTAAGTGAGGCAAAAGACCAGCAGGTACAAGAGCAGTGCATGGCTGGCAGGTGTAAGAATACTACTGTTGTGCCTCATGTAGAGGGGACCCCAGGGCTGCACAAACACACTGAACTCCCAAGGTGCAAGGACATAAGAGCCTACAATACAGGCCCTAGGTTCATCTTATGGTACAGAGCAGCATTGGGCGAGCTGTGGCAGGCAGGCAGGGGCAAGCAGAAATAGGTGTCATTTTAGTAATGAAGGCTGCATGGGTGCAGCGAGAACAATGACAGGGAAAGGGAACAGCAGGCTCCCCTTCTTGGTGAGCAGTGTGTTTCCTTGCTGGTAGCAGATACATACGTGATGCCCATACTGGAGCCTGACGTCCTCCAAAGATCCAGGCAAGAGCTGCTACAGCTTAAGCTACAGATCCAAGGTGCTTAATTAAGCTGTAACAGTCCATCCCTCTGTGGAAGGGGACAAGGCACACGCCCTTGAGGAGGTCACCTGTGCAATGGCCATCAATACCAGGGAGACCGGAGACTGTATCTTCAGCTCCCATGGCCAGGCTAGGGGTGGGGGCTCAGTGCAGATCTTCATGTGAATCAGGGTGCTGTTTGTCCCATCAGTTTGATAAAGACTAAAGAGCTGAGGGCTCACAGGTCTGCAAATCTTGGGCTTTATTCACAGCCACAGTTCACTTGTTGCCGTTTTGCGATGCCAGCAGGCAGGGAACGACGACTGCCCAAGATGAGCCCTTCGCCTCCCTAACTGGCTATGAGGCCAGGACACTGTTCAGTACACATGGGCATGTCTCCTGTGGCCCTGCTCTGCTGGGAGCCCAAACCACTTATTTCAGGAGAAGGGCAAAGATGCAGGCAACAACAATCCAGGCCCACGAGGGAGTGGAAGGGGAACCAGAGGTCAGTCGGTCACCATAGATATCCAAGAGCTGCAGAACTACGCCATTGGTCCAGCCGAATCC